GAAGAATGCCATCTGTAAGATACTGAAATGATAACAACAGATAAGCTATGGATGAACATAAGTTTAATTACGGCAGTTTTGAGATTATGTCCACAGATACACTAAAAAAGAACTTTTTTGACAAATTTCTTAAAAAACAACAGGTAAATTCACTGTTTGAAAATAGCAGAAAAGCTACCTTTATTTTGGTGGCCGAATCAGTCAAATCATCAAAACGGACCACGTAACCAACGTCTTCACCAAGTTTACAGGACTTTTCCTCGGCAACTCGCTCAGCTAACTGCAAAACAGACATGTAGAGCAGTAAACCGAGGAATAAAAATAAGCAAAAAAAGGGGGATTTTGAAGCTAATACACGAGAATTCGACAGTGCAACTTTTTGAATATGTATTACCGCATAAAACCTATCGAAATTAAAATATGTGAAAAATCCAAAAATTTTTATCTAAAAATGACAAATGTATATAAATGCGAGCGTGTAGATGCTGTCAGAATAATACATGTAAAGAAGCCGGCAATGCTAATGCACTATGTCGATTTGAGTGCTAAAGCACATGAAGTGCGCGCTGCTAACGCGCCAGTGGCAGATTTCACTGTGAAAAGACTGTCAAAGCCAGTAAATGAGAGGAAGCCAACACAGTGTGTCGAAACTAAAGGATGCAGATCTGAAAACAGCTTATAAAATCAGCATGTACTAAGCTGATTATCGCATAACTGTAGCATGAAAGTAATATGAAGAACTTAAAAAAGAAGGCAAAAATAGAACGAACTGTGTAACGCAAGATGTAGAAATATTGCTGGTACAGGAAAAATAAGTACGAGAGACTTAAAACGTTTCGGTCCACGTCTTAGCTCAACACCGCAACTGGACTTCGTCAGTATGACGGTCGGAGTGTTACTAATTTGCCACGAATAGTACTACGAAGCAGTTGTGTGAATGAATTACGCAGCACTTTTCAAAAAAAAAAAAAAAATTTTCAAAACAACGTACCGTTACTGCAGCAATTCTTCGTGGTTGCGTCACTCCTATTTTCCGCCCGTCTGATGACCAACCCGCTTCCATGAGGTACTGAAACAGAGCAATAGCTGCTTAATCATACTGTGTACCACGCAAAAATGGAAATGCACAACACTGCAAATGTACTTATCCAAGGATGAGTCTATCGTGAATCCCTCCAGTTTCAACTTTCCAACTTAAAATTAGCAAAAAATCATGAAAAACAAAAATTTTTGTAACAGCTTGTTTTCGAATAAACCACTTTGCACAGGTGCAGCTCCGCGCCCCTAAACAAACAAATGCAGCTATGAAATTTGCATTCTGCCGGGACAATTATCATCAGTGGTACTTATTGTCACAATTAGGCAGTGTTCGAATGAAGTTTTAAAAAAAACTGATCAGTTGTTCCCTTCTCTCCTCCGTTGATGATTTTGATCAGATAACTACTATTCCCAGAAGTTCATCGTCCCATACTTGTATAATTTAACAGCACTAGCTCCACTTCGTTCGTTCAGTTAAAAAAAAGAAGCTTTAAATTGGAGAAAATCAGTGTACCTGTGGTAACTGAGTGCTCTTGCCGCATCCCGTCTCGCCAATTACTATCACAGCACGAAATTTCTCTAACAGATACAATATATGACTGCGATACTGAAACACATTTTTCGAATAACAATCCGTTGTAAAATTCAACAGTCTTTTTCGCAAAAACTTTAAATTTGCATCATTTTCGAATTTTTCGTCTGTTTAAGAAAGAAAAAAAAAATTCCCGCCTGCATACAAAGCAGTTGCTATATCACAAAATATTTTTTTCGGCCATCTCTTTCATTCAACCATTCTTGCTCTATGAAAAAGACAGTACGGGCCGTGGAGACCCTACCCATATCATACGTACTACATTTTGTTAATTATGAATGCGTAGTTTAATTCCATAGTGTTTTATCGAAATCCCTGCAACATCCCATCCAGCTAGCTACTACCATAACTTTCCGCGACCATTCTACCTCCCGAATATTATTGCTTAAATTCTAATCATCCATTATTACTTCACACTTCGATTATTGTTCTTACATTCTCAGTCTCTCCTCGCTATTTATGAATCTGACAACCTCCCCACATATTTTCAAGCCTCTAACATCCCAACAGTTCCGAATGGCATTTAATTGGATTCCACCACTGAAGCCTCCTTTGTACCCCCTTACCATCACGCTGATACCACCCATTAAATCCACTTTGTCCATTTCGCGTTTTTGCCAAATGAAGAGCCAACTTCCTCTGCTAGCGTACGTTCTCCCGATAATATGGTTCACATGAGACAGCGTCCCTTGCTTTTCTATTTTAGTCAATGGCCACATTTCGCATCCGTATGTCGCTGCTTTCAGCACGGTGCTATTTAAAAGATGGCATGGCCCTTTCTGTTTGATAATTTGTTTGATAATTTGATAAAAAATGACCAGAAAAACAAGCAGCTAGAAAATGCTGTACAAAATAACATAAGTCATGCATCCAGGGACAGCTAAGTGGCATTTGAAGCACGAAAATGTACTTTGAAAATAGGAAGACGGGAACGTTGCTGTTGGATGGAGAGTGCCAGAAACGGATTGCTAATGACAAGACTTGCATTTTCCTCACTGACAATCCGCTCTTCCAACAAAAGTGAACCACTGCGACTGCTCTGATCGATGGCACCATCACCTGAAACAACAAAAACCGATCCACAAATTTATGTGTCGATTTGAAATCATTTCAACGGACAGGAACTGAAAGAATCTGAGGGCACTCGTGCTGCCCCTCCACAAATTCGGTTTCCCTAATTAATTAAAAATAAAGGAACTGATAGTCACGATCTCAGCGCAAAGATGCATTTTTGCACAGTACTGTCCAACTTATCCAAACATACATAGGTGTTTCAAAAAAAAAAAAATTTCGAAGTATTATGAAAGTTTGGAGCATTATATTGGTGTTATGAATGCAAATTTGG